GGCTGGCCCCTCTACATGAGCACCAAAAACACCATTCTGAAGAGATATGATGGCCGCTTCAAAGACATCTTCCAAGACATCTACGACAGGTAATCAGTTGTGTACTCCCTACTGCAGTGCATAAGTCTGCAGCAGGAACTTCCTCTCCAGCCTTGTGAGTTGCTTTTTCAGACACTCAGCAACACTTTAAGGGCACAGGGGATGCCATCTCTGTCACTGTCTTCCTTGTCCTGCAAGGCACAATACTCAGTGCAGAAAGCTCTGCTAAATGTGGCTGTAGTGTCCATATCTTGTAATAAAGGCACAGGTTCTCTGTGGGTGCTTCTATGACTCTGAAGCAGTCTTGCTATAGCCTAGCAAAACAGACAAGGGAAAAAAAGAGTAAAGAAAATGCAGGGGTTTTTTGGTTTTAGTCTTATCTCTATGCACCTCTCTATGTACAAACTGTGCAATTCACTGTTCGTATGACAAGGTGTTTTGGTTTTTGTTTTCTAGAGAGTACAAGTCCCAGTTTGAAGCCAAAAAGATCTGGTATGAGCACAGGCTCATTGATGACATGGTTGCTCAGGCCCTGAAATCTGAAGGAGGTTTTGTCTGGGCCTGCAAGAACTATGATGGGGATGTGCAATCTGACTCTGTTGCACAAGGTATGAGGTGTTTCCTGTGCCACAGTGAAGCAGGCTTAGTGGTAGTCTCTTGTGTCCTTCTGTCACATCTTACGGAATGGCCCAGGATGTGGTGTTGGGTCTCAAAACTTGTATTTCAAACCTGTTGCCAGTCGTGGTGGTATCAGGCTTTCAAAAAAAATCTGCTTTTGCTTTTACAAGAAAATCTATTGAATGTAGACTCTGTAGTTGTATTTATTTACAGGAGGGAAGTTTCTACCAGATGATAACTGGTAGGCTTTCTATTCTAATGGACAGTATTTAGACAGCTGGTTCTCTGTCACTGTTAACTTGAGTTAAGCTGACTGCTGCTGAGTGTGATGGCAGGTGCTCTGCAGATAATCCATAAAACTTTCAGGACCTAAAGCTACCTGTGAGGTGTAAAGAGAGATTGATATGTTTAACTTTACATAATTGCAATGCTTGATCAAAATCCTATATAACCAAGGTGCCTGGTGCCAAAACAAATATGGATGCAGAATTCCACAGGATGAGATGTGTGGCTTTATGTAATACACTGTTTCTGAAGTAATGCCACTAAACTGCCTCCCACAGAACAAGGATGTGTGTTGGACTGCTAAACAAAGCAGTTTTCAAGCACGGAGATCTCTGAAACCTACAGGGTTAGAACTGGTGTGAATGTCCAATATCAGAACTTGCTGCTTCCTCTCACAAGAGCAGATGCTCTTACTAAGTTGTTTTGTTTCCTGTCACCCTGTGTGAAAGACAAGCAGTCCAGCACTTACTGTTCTCTTACTGTACATTTTCAGTAGAAATCTGTCCAGCAAATTAGGTAAGAAAACGAATTTCCTTGAAATGGTGAAGAATGTCTGTATATCTGTATCTCATGGTTCAGCTGGAGTTATGTTCAGATGAACTGTTATTTTGATGTGTAGGGACTTGCCAGTTAATTGCAGAAGCACTACTGCACCTCTGCTGTTCAGGGATTTTGTATCAGTGGGAAGATGTAGGTGGGGGGGGATTGTAGGATGGGGAATTTGAGGGAGCTGTCCAAAGGAGACACTGAACTTTTGAAGCTGTGTTTTGTAGGCTATGGCTCTCTGGGGATGATGACCAGCGTGCTGATATGTCCTGATGGCAAGACTGTTGAATCAGAAGCTGCTCACGGGACAGTCACTCGTCACTACCGCATGCACCAGAAAGGCCAAGAAACCTCCACTAACCCCATTGGTGAGCTGCTTTTCACTGCCCTTCATCATCTCTAGACATGAAAGAACAAGTTTACAGTAAGAACATCTGCACCCTTTCTGTAGACAACTGTACCACTTAGTGGTGAAACTTGCAGGTCATAATGCATTTTTCTTCCAGAGATTGTGAGGACCCTTAAGGGGAAGGAAGTACCTAAGATTCTTAAATGCTCATCGTTCAAAAGAAATTACAAAAGTCAGAGGGTCTGCAAACAATCAGAAAGTAGATCAGTAAATTACACACATGGCATGGAAATAGCTACTATATAAGCACACAGCAGTGGTTTTTGGATAAAGGGGCAGGGTGAAAGTGAAGAGGGGAATTAAAGAGGGAAAGATGAATTAAAGAAAGTAAGAAAGGAAAAGAGAAATAGGGAAAAAAAAGAGGGAACTAAAGGAAGAAAAATAGGAGAAAAGAGAGAAAAATAGGTCACTAGTCCTGGTTACAGCATTGATCCAGCTGAGGGGATACCAATTCTGGTTTCAGTGCTGATCCAGCTGATAAGTGGCAATCCAGCTGCATTGGATGCAGTCTGGCTGCTGAGATGGCCAGGGCCCTGGGTGCACCACCTGGGCTTGGGAGGGCTGGGGTTGCTGGGGAGAGGGGGGTACCTTTTTATGGACATGTTTCTTGCTTTTTATGTACATTCATCATCAAGTGCCATCCATTCTTTCAGGCCTGTCTGGAAAGGGGTCAGAGGACTTTGGGGGTCCTTGCTCTCAATCCCACGCTATACTCCATGCCCACTTCCTGCCACTCATTCTTGTGCTTGCACTGTACTATGTTGTGGTTCTTTCTCATGGAAAAGTGCTGTCCTGTTTCCACCTGGCCCCTCTTTTCCAATCAAATTTTGTTCTTTTTTATGGCATGTCAGTACCAAAAGTCCATGGCTACAGCTGTCCAGTTATCAGTGTTTGAGACAAAATTAGCTCCTTCTCTTGAGGTGGGCTCAGTTGGTCAGAGCATGGTGCTAACAACACCAAGGGTGTGGGTTCAATCCCTGTATGGACCATTCATGTAAGAGTTGGGTTCAATGATCCTTCTGTGTCCCTTGCAACTCAGATTATTCTGTGATTCCACGTGTATCTTCTGGAAATTGTGACCTCCAAAAGATGTCACTTTGGGCTGCTGTTTAAAGGGTTGTTAGAGAGTAGGGTATAGTATGTATTAGCTCCTTATAATCGAGAGCTTGAGGGGTCTCACTTTGGGTCACTGTTTATGGGGTCACAAGAGAGTGGGCTCTAGTTATAGTAATTTTCCACCTTGGCTGCAATTTAAGTTAGTAACTTTCTTTGAAAGTTGAGTAACAAAAATATTATTCAACTTGGGTTGTTATTTAGGCAAGAAAAATACCTTTCCAAGGCTATTTATTAAAAAAAAAAGGTCCTCATTAAACACCATTACTTCCTGGGTTTCCGATGAGCTTGAGAAGGGCTTAGGTGTGGTTTGCCAAGGCCTAATGAGCTTTTTCAGATCACAGTGTGGCCTGAGGGAGTCAAGGGAGTACACCCCCAAAGACTTCTTGTGACTTAAGTCAGCTTCTCTGGGTCCTACAGACACAGCTACAGCCTGAAGCAAAAAACAAACTGGAATGGAGTGAGTGCAAGCAATAAGCTAGACCTAACTTAGCCTTTATTCACTCACTCTTCAGGAAACAATTGGTTTATAGCCACAAGGCCTTAAGGTTTAGGTTGGTTGTTGTTTATTTTACGTCTTTTTCTGGTGGCCCAGAAGAACCAACCATGCCCCAAGCCATGTACACACTCGAAGTGTAAGGGTACTTGGAACAGGACATGAGGGAAAGAATCCTCTAAATTTGCATAGAGACCAGAGCATAATGTAGTGTTAGGAAAAGGACTGCACCCTTCTGTCACAATATTCTCTGTAACTACTGAGTCCTACCACCTGTCATTCTGTCTGACTTGAGCAGGAAGAAAATAAAATGGCATGCATAGAGAGATTACTGGAGGCAGTGAGTAGTTTCTGAGGTCAGCTTTGGTTTTGGTGGGGTTTTTTTTGAGTTCTGCAAAAGGCAAAGGATACCTAGATGAAGATAAGTGTTCTTTCCCATACCAGATTTTCTATCTTTTTTTTCAGTCTGCTTTCCATTTTATTGGTATTAAAAAATCCAATTATTGTTCCACATGATAATTTAGAGCAATTTTCAGGAAGTTCTCTATAGATAGAATAACCCAGTGTTCTCTCTCAGCCTCCATCTTCGCATGGACAAGAGGCCTCGCTCACAGAGCTAAGCTGGACAACAACACTAGCCTCAGGAACTTTGCAGTTGCCCTGGAAGAAGTCTGCATCGAGACCATTGAATCTGGCTTCATGACAAAGGACCTTGCTGCCTGCATCAAAGGCCTGCCTAAGTAAGTGTATGAAATAGCCTTCTCTAGGCATAGCTGGTTGTTTTATGTGGTGGCTCTGAACAGCATTGGCTGGAATGGTTTTTTTAGTATGGTAAAGAACAGGAGTGTGTCTCGCAGGACTTCCTGTACCCTGTGAACATGAGACACTCCCTGACCCAAGCAGCTTAGTCCAGATCGCTCTCTCTCTGCTATTGCACCAAATGAATGGGAGAAAAAAAAGTAAAGAAGGAACTGCAAAGATGTACATGTTTTTATGACAGTCTAGCTATGGTGGCCAGATCCTAACAAATGAAGACCTACATAACTGTAAAATATCACCTGGCTACCTCTTTGCAGAGCCTTATGGCAAAAAAACCCAGCCTGATGAGCAGGAGAGAACTCTTTTGGTTTTAGAGGCAAAACATAGAGTTCTTTGAACAGTCATCCTCTGCTTTGATTATTTGAGAGTCTGTACAACTAATACCTGTCTTGTTTTGTTTCCCCCACTCAGTGTCACACGCTCTGATTACCTGAACACCTTTGAATTCATGGACAAGCTTGCTGAAAACTTGAAGCGGAAGCTGGCCTCTATGCCCAAAGCTTAAGGCATGGGTTACACTCAAGCTCCCCTAACAAAGTGTCTCCCACTTACATCAGAGTGTAAGTGGCATTGTCTCATTTGTTGTGCTTCTTTTAGGCTGTTCTTCAGCTTTAGCTGTCTGGCATTATCACACTGGCAGATACTTCCTATCAGAATAATCTCTTTGCCCAATTACTAGTTTTTCTCTTGATTTTCTATCTGATCACACTTGGGTCCTCTTGCAAAGCACAAGCACTGGAGGTCTCTTTCCCCAAGAAAAGTGAATTCTGTAGACTGGAATCACCTGAGGTAATTTCATGACTTGAGAAGGTATGAACTGAGGGTTTTAGCAAGCTCTCCATGCTTTGCATCTCAAAGATAGGTCCCTTCTTAACCTGCTGCATTAAGTCAACACTATCATAACTCTGCAGTTGTGCTGGATTCACCTCATATGTACTTCAAGATCTTGGACTCCATCAGGAGAGTGGGAATGGTGTTCCACACCAGTCTCTATTCCTTCTGTCAAAAGCCCCCTCGCATGCCTGCTTGCCCCATCTCACAGACTTCAGTCTCACTAGAACATGTTGCAGCTTTTGGCTGAAGAAGCTTCTGTGCATTTTGAGCACACTATTGGGACTACTTTCTGCATTGTTTTTAATTGCAGTTGTTTTCTTTTTTCTTGTTCTTGCTTTCTTAGCAGTTGTTCTTTCATCAGTTTTAGTTTTTTAATAGGCTCCCTCCAGGTATATTCACTCATGATTGCTCAATCTTGTTGAATTTTTACAGTCTCACTCCCTCCAGATGTGAAACTATACTAATATGTAGATGATACTCTAATTCAAGGAGATTCCCATGAAAAGGTGGGAGAAGCAGCAGCAACAATAGGAAGCATTACATGAAGCAGAAATTGAAATTCAGCCTGAAAAATGTCAAGGACCAAGAAATAAATTTTTGGGTACTTGGTAGATGCAGCCAATGCAGTAGTTCCTCCAGACACATTAAAGGAATTAGAACAAATGCAAAGTGCCCCCATCAAAATAAAAATTACAAGAGATAATGGGAACTTTAGGATATTGGAGAAAACATGTACCTGGCTTTTCTGTTATTGCTTGCATAAGTGGGTCTGTATTGTGCTTTGTTGTGTAACATTACAAACACTAGATAAAAATCAACATAGACACTTTTTAAACTTTTAGAAAATCATGTTTTCTGAAACCTTTGAGCTGCTAGGCTAAGCCCTACTTTTGCCAAGCAGATTAATTTGATAAAAGCTTGGTATGGGTCTGGATTCCTAGTTTTGTTCACAGCAGACCTGAAGTTTTTCTCTGTGACTTTGATGTATGTTTATCTCTTCCTCTCAGTCTGAAGGCCAGTTTGTGTCACAGCTGTGGTCAAACCATCAGTGACCTACTGTCCAGCAGACCTCAGAAATGAATACCGTCCTCCTCTCTCGAGTACTTCCCAGGGAGTGTAAGTGAGCTCAGAGGGCAATGCCAGCTCTACCGCAGCCCTCCTGAATTTATCTTGTAGTGCCAGCCAGAGCACAGTGTCCTGATACCAAGGGATTTGGTTCCATTGCTGCAGTCAGGACTGTAGCATTTGAGTAGCACTTAGTAAATGCTGGAAACAAGCCTTATAGGCCAAGAGCCTACCAAAGCCATGCTGCAGTGTCTAAATGCAGGCCATGCATTTAGTTATGCTCCTTCTGACTGGATGTGAAGCATAGGAACTGTTAACCTCTTCCCTCACCCCACAATTCATAAAGGTGCAAACTTTTCTCCAATTGTCTGGGCTATTACTTACCCTTGTTGTCTTATGGCAAGTCATATCATGACTGTGAAAACTTATTCCATCCATGGTTGTGTGTTGGGTTTTTTTTAAGGAATATTTTTAATTCAAACTAAAATAAAAGCAAACTAACATTCTTTGTGTCTCCTTCCTTTGTGTGATTAGCAGATATGAGGAAACTGCCTCAGCGAGACACTCCAGTAGCTTTCAGTCCAGTACAGGCTGGGACAGACTGCTGGAATGTGAAATAAGCAAAAAGTATCTCCCTTCTTGGTATAGAGTTTCAATTTGTTCTAGCCTAGGCAAAGCTGTCATGTGTGGTGTCATGGTGAGCATCAGGTAGTATACAAGAATTTCAAAATACCACTTGCCGTGAAATTTTATTTGGGGAGTAATACAAACTGATACATCATTGCTCAGCAAAACAGAAACTGTTACACATGAACAAACTCTTCCCCCCTCCAGCTGACTGCCAGAGGTGGTGATTAGGATAGAGATACCAGTATTCGACCAAAGGAGCTACTCTTACCCTGTGTTTGAAGCACAGCTCTGTAACTGCTAGCAGCTGTCTCTGTACCTTGAATGTCAATGAATGCAATCTACTATTCTGTTATTAGCACAAGCACATCAGTGCAGCTGGAAAATGTCCCATTTCTGACCCATAGAGGCAATGGAAACAATTACTGGGAACACTTGGAGATCTAAGTTCCTGGCCTGGTTTCTGATATCAGTGGGTCAACACAGGCAAGGTTCCAATACAACAGCATTTCAAGCAAGTGTTATAAGTGTTATTTACTAGCTCCTACCTGGCTTCCAGAGTTACAAAATACCAGAGAAAGCTTGGTAACTTCCAGAAAACTGAAGAAATAAATAAGAGGGCATTTTTGAATCTCAGGCTTTTTGTTTCCTGGTTTTAATAACTTAACAGTACAGCTTAAATGCAAGCTGTGTAGTAGCATTTACCTGACTGCTGATGACACTATTTTCCATCTAAAAATTAAATTTCCATCTTCTGGAGTCCTCTGAATACAGAGAGTACAGCAAGATCTAGCCTATCCTCATGAACTGATAGAAGTTGCTAAGGACAAGGAGTAAGTATGGTCAGAAGAAAAGAGCAGCCCTCTCCTTGTTCTACCACAAAGAGGAAACACTTTTCCTGCTTCCAAACAGGCACATTTCCTTCCCTTTTACTGCTGGTGTGATCCCTTCTTTTCCCCGCCACTCTCTCAAACATTTAGAATCAATAACATTCAAAGTTACACCAGTAGACCCTAAAAAAAGCAAGTGCGTGAAGCCAGTGGGTGCTGCATTGGAAGACTAAAGGATTTCCTGAAACACAACTGGCCCCATCTGGAGTACTGTTGTCCAGCTCTGTGCTTCCCAGCTTAAGAGGGATATGGACCTATTGGAGCAAAGCCAGAGGGGGAACACAAAGATGATCAGAGGTCTGAAGTACCTCTCCTATGAAGACAGTCTGAGAAAGTTGAGGTTGTTCAGCCTGGAAAACAGAAGGTGCTAGGGAGACCTTATCACACTATCCAGTACCTCAAGGGGCTACAAGAAGGCTGAAGTACTTTTCAACAAGGAGTGATAGAAAAAGGGGAGATGTTTTTAAACAGCTCTGTCCCACGGGACTTGCTCCTCTGATCACCTTTCCTGTAACAATACTCAGAATGTTTGAGACATGTTTAGATCTGGTCCTAAGCACCCTGTGTTTCAAACATTCCTTAATGTTGGTTGGTATAGAGCTCATCTGCTGCTGCAGGGAGCTTTACATGGCAGACGGGGAGAGAACAGGAAGAAAGCATAAGATAGCTAGGAGCTAATCATACAGCACATAAGGGCCATGCCCCTCATTAAAACAGACATCCATCAATTTGTGTCAACCATTTTCCCCACCCCATAAGTCTCAAAGATTTGAAAACAGAAGAAATGCACAGCACGAGGCTCAATTTGTCAAATTGGTCCTTGGGTTGCCTTAGTTGGAAGAGTTCAGCTGCCTGGTCAGCCACCTCCATCTTTGCTTGGGCCTCTGCATTCAAAGCTCTCGCCTTGCGGCTAAACACACGAGCTTCTAGGAGCTTGGGGGCTGCTTTCAACCACTGTTCTAATCCATTCTGTTGTTATCAACTTGCCTGCCTTGGCACTGAGACATCCTTCAGTAAGTCATTCTTTGTTCTCTTTCATCTTCTTGGTCATTTGCCTTGGCTTTGACAGGCTTCCTTTTTTTTTGTAGGCAGAAGAGTGGAGGAACTCAGTGTCTGTAAAGGGGTCACCCTGCCTCAGTTTGCTGCAGAAACAAAAGGGTTACATTGAACCATCAAGTATTCCTTTAATTCATGTATGATTTTAAAGTTTCTAATTTTAGTGCAGTACTTGCCCATAAGATGATTAAGTTTGTTTCTTGTCCATTACAGAGTACTGGTGCAATATAACCAGCTATTTACGGAAAGTTCAAACTGGGACACTTTCCAGGGAAAAACACACCCAGTAATGTTATACAACTACAAAGCCATCATTTTAGGAGTAAATGACTCTGTGCAATAGCCATTGGATGTACTGAATCTAGTTTCCTAGGGAAAAGATACAGCTATTTGTTTAGGTATATCTGCTAGTGAATATAGATACAAGATGCTCTCAGGAGGAAAGTATTACTCAGGCATCTAAAATTTTAGTTGTCACAGAATAAATGAAATCAGGGCTTTTGCTGGGCTGTCTTTATTCTGTATTTTATCCTCTTGCTACTGCCTCATTAGCACTGGAGTATCACAGATGCAGTCTGCCAAGAGATGTGCTCATTTCAACAAGTAAAATAAGATCTTTGGTAGCTTGTTACCAGAAGCCTAAACATCCATTTGTACTTATGCAGAATTTTGGCATAACCACGCAGTAGTAGAAGAGGAAGGTCACAGAACACAAAGGGTAAGAACTTTGAACAAAGCAACAGAGGGTCCAGCACCAGAGAGTTAGTATATGAGAGCAGAGCAGGGGTTGCAGCATGGGAACAGTCTTTGGAATGAATAGTTTAGAGCCCAACCTGTGGACTGATGGCTCTTTGTAGCAGGTTGGCTTCCGTTTCCGCCTAGATGAGCGCCCTGATGCGTCCTCCGAGCTGGAGTGAGACAGAACCCTGCCATTGTTCAAGTCCTGTAGTGGTTTGATATCTGCAAAGGGAGACATTCACATGGTTTGATCAAAGTGATTCTAAATCATTTCCAGATATCCTAATAACAGCTGACAAATAGAAAAAGTTGCATTACCAAGTTTCTCTGAACATGCACAATGCGGAATCTAATCATATTGCCCCTAAACTCAGGAGACTCTTTTAATCCCAAAATACCATACCTGCTCCTCAAAAGTCAGCTCATAAATCCAATTAGGTCCCTCAATGAAAAAATCACTAATACTGATAGTATCATGGGCTTTGGTGTAGTAGAAAAATTATACAGAAACTCTATTTGATAGCTGTAAAGCTCAGGAGCTTACAGCCTGGAGAAGACAGCAACCTTATAGCATACAAACAACCTACCAGCAACCTACTGACTCCCAGCAAGACACAGAACCAGTGGTCACTGCACCTTTCCAAAATCAGTCAGCCAAAAGGAAGAAGACAGGAGAACAAACTTCCTCCATGTCTACAAAGTACAGCCCACTCCAGTTGTAATAGGCCTGTTTGTCAACAGCTACAGAACGAAAAACCCCACAAAACTACTTTCTTTACAGAGCACTCATTAACAGCAAACTCCCCAAAAGGATCAGCTCAACTATTGTAGTACCAGCCCAAGGATGCACCCTCCAAATCCTTTTAAACAAACAAACAACAAAAAACCCCAAAATAATTTAGGTTGGGTACTGGTTAATTTCCAGTGAAGATATCACCTTAGAAGCATGAAGTCTTGCAGCACTAACCATTCTGGACCAAAAGTTTTCCACCTTCTTGTTATTTTGTGCCCCAGTAATACTGACTGACTCTAATAGGCAGGGTCAGCATCAAGTTAGATTTGAAGTGCTTGAATACTTGATTTTCTAAATAGGCATGCCCTGTAGATAACAAGAGTGGTAAAGCAAGACTCAGCACATGCTGCTAGTCTTGTCCCAATATCTACACATGGACAGGTGGACAGAAATTCTTATAGAAATGCTGATAAACTAGAAGCAAATGCAGCCACAGAAATGACAGCCCAGCACAAGTGGAAGCATAAACGGTGTACTGGAGACTGATTTTTAATTCTGAAAAAAAGAGAGGAGAGGAAGGAAAATATAAGTACTTGCTGCATGGAGTTTTTGCCCTCATCTCCAAACACAGGTACCTTCCCCAGCTTACCACCTACCAGGTTCCTGTGAAGATGAGCTCCGAGAACTTGACTGGACTTGGCTTCTTTCCCCAGGTATTTCCTCTGCAGTCTCTTCTTTAAATATCGGGGAGTTTTTCAGCCAAACAGGGGGTTTTGCTGGCATTCTGTTGCCCTCAGTACTTAAGCTCTTGGAAGCTGGTACTTCTTTAAGTCTGGAGCTGACAGAAAAAACTGCAGAACTGCTCACACGGGAGGATTCAATACTGTGTGAAAGGTCTGTCAGACTATCTGCAAGTGATATCTCAGGTAGCTGCTCCTCCAGGAAATCACCTGGCTCAGACAGCAGATGGCTAATGCAGGAAAACTTCCCCATCAGGATAGTCTGCTTGGGTGCAAGTTCTGTGGAACTTCCAGTGAGAACCTTGGCACCATCACTTTTTCTGCCCAGGGAATCAGTCTCTGGAGGTTGAGAGTTGCTCCTCTTCCTCTGAGGCCTGGGTTTGCAAGAGGCTTCATTTGTCAAAGCATTCATGTTGTGGTCAACTTCACCTTGCCCTTTTTCTTGAAGGCCCCCTGTCTGTTTTTTATTGCTCTTTTGATTGTTCTTAACAGCTCTGGGGATTTTGCTTGCTTTGCTCGCAGGAACAGACCTGGGAGGTACATTTTCACCCCCTTCAGATCCTGTCTGGAAACAACCCAAGTTTCCTGCAAGATCCAAAGGATGGACAATATATGTTTCCCTGCGCTGTTTTAGAATACCTGGTAAATGCTTTGTGCTCTCATTAGCTACTCCTTGAACATCTATGCAGGGCCTAAAAACATTAACTTCATTTCTCTGATCACAATTGCTATTCCTGGCAGTATTCTTCCTGGTTGTTTGGCTTCTTTTAGGCCGTTCTTCAGCTTTGGACTCTGGTATTATCACAATGTTTGGCAGATATTCCTCATCAGAATCATCTCTTTGCCAAATTATTCTAGTTTTTCTGTTGGCTTTCTGTCTGATGCTCTTTCTGCTCACACTTGAGACTTTTGTAGAATTCTGTAGACTGGAATCACCTGAGGGAATTTCATGACTTGAGAAGGTATGAACTGGGGGTTTTAGCAAGCTCTCCATACTTTGCATCTCAAAGATAGGTCCCTTCTTAACCTGTTGCATTAAGTCAACACTTTCAAGATTCTGCAGCTGTGCTGGATTCACCTCACATGTACTTCCCAAGTCTTGGACTCCATCAGGAGAGTGGGAATGGTGCTCCACACCACAATCTGTATTCCTCTTGTCAAAAGCCCCCTCACATGCCTTCTGCCCCATCTCACAGACTTCAGTCTCACTAGAACATGTTGCAGCTTTTGGCTGAAGAAGATTTTGTGCATTTTGAGCACACTCTTCACCTTGAGATCTGTCAGGACTACTTTCTGTATTGGTTTTAATTGCAGTTGTTTTCTTTTTTCCTGTTCTTGCTTTTTTAACAGTCTTTTTCTCTCTGATTTTACTCTTATCTTTGCTTTTAACCTTTTCAGGAACAAACTCAGGGACCTGGCTATAGCTAGGGTCCCTTTCAACACCACATCCCATTTCTTTTGTCTGTGTCTGCTCACAAAAGGTCTCTTTACCCACAGAGTTTCTATGAGAAACAACAGCAGCTTGAGCTGGTGAAGCCAGGGGGCTGGGAGATTGCAGCTGTTGCTCTGTGTTGTTCTTGCTGGAGCTGCTGTTGTCCTGTGCAGTACTACCCCAAGCTGCCTGAGTGGAACTGACACGTGGGAAGATATCCAGAGCAGAAGATGGAGTGCTTGTAGCAAACAGGGAGGAACGCTTTCTCCTCTGAGTAATGTGCCCTTGTGAGAGACGATCAAATAAATGTTTTGCCATCTCATCGGCCTCACATGAAAGAGTATGACTTTCCAAGGCAAGCATTGGCAAATTGTTGGGATTTTGTTCAGTGCTGCACAAGACATCTGTTGGAAAGAAAAAATTCATGTTTAAGGCTGAGAAATGCAGCAGGCAAATTACCATCTTTCTCCATATACTGCTACAAATCCAGAGCATACAAAAAGCATTATTTTGAGACAGGGACTCCCCCAACTTACTGGGTACCAGATTTGCTTAGCTGGCTTCTCTCTGAACAAAAGGGCAGCCCAAATCAAGATCCCCTAACTAGCTGTAATATTAGGAACACTTATGATCTGTATAAGAGTTATCATTTACATGGCAAATCCACAAGAAACAGCAGTGCACCTAGTTAGATTCTGCACTTTCAGACATCTTCAAAAGTCTTATGTACACTCAGTGCCTATTACTCAAAAATCCTGATTTGTGACTTTGATCTACTGCAAACACACCACATATCCCTCTGAAGGACTCTGATTCTGGGATATAGATAACTCCAGCAATAACAGCCCCAGTGGAGCATGTAGTTAATACCAGTCATTAGGAGCTACTGGAGTTGTGGTTGAGAGCTAATTAGAGTTATGGCATTTATGCATTTCTGAGCACAGACACAAAGACATACCAGAAGAAAAGCAAGAGATGCAAATTTACCTCCAAATATGTGAGAGTCATGAAAAGCCCCCTCTGTTGCCGTTGCTTCAGTCACCTTTTTGCCATTCTCTTCCTGGTGGAACTGAGGCTCCTCATCGTGCTGTGGTGGCAAAGCATCTTTGGGGGCAACAGGCACAATTTTCAAGGTCTCATTAGAAGCAGGTCTCTGAAGTTCTCCTGCATTAGAAGCAGGTCTCTGAAGTTCTCCTGAGGATGTTTGTAGTGCTGTGGAGCTGCCAGCTTGCTGCTCTGCATCATGCAGCTTGGAAATGGGCACTCTCATCGGCATCTGTGTAACCCTGGTGAGAAGGAGGAGCAGCGATGGATCATGTCTCTCATATATGAATCCAGCAGACTAACTACAGGCCACGTGTGGGCAGCTCCAAGGACTGCCCTGTCTTCAAAAGGGAGACTACACAGCGAAGAAACAGGACTTCCTATATATTTTGAGATCATGTTCTGACCATCTTTCCAGAAAGTTTACATCATACAAGCAGGTGACTATTAAGCATTTTTATGTAACAAACATCAAAGTAGCCAGCTATGGCACTCACTTGCTCAATCTTGCTGTACTCAGCAGCTACAAAGAGAAAACTGCCTAAAAGTAACAGTCTCAAAGAAAGGAGGTAAAAAGACTAGTTTTTGCACAGACTCAGCATTAGAACAAACAAGACAAGGAGTGGCAATAAAAAGACAGAATAAAGGAAAGCATCAAGCAGTGGTGGTTCAGGGAAGCTATCTCATATGAAACTGGCAACTAGGCACACACATAAAACACAAGAAGTTTAGAATATAGAAATTCAGGACAAGCTTGGTGGTATCATTTTAAAGCCCACCTCAGAAGCTGACCATCTACAATATCATCAGCCCAGCTATCTTCAGTCATGATGCTCTTCTGGCCACAGGACAAGGATTCAGAATTTATATGGAACTGGAAAGAAGAGAAATAGGAGAGTGATTTAAAGTTATTGAAATCTCTCGTGCAGCCTCCTGCACAGAAACAGCAGAAGGTCAGTTTCTTTAAAAAGTATGTAAAGCATTGCCAGCAACCCTCTCATGTTACGGAATAAATTATGGAACAAATTGCAGCAGAATCAGATTGTGTGTCCACAGCCTAAGGATGAAGTTAAACTAGTTCAGATAATGTGGGACTAGGAAGCAGAAGTATTTTCCCATCCACCCACTTTCCCACACAGGGAAAGTGTCCTATTCCCTATCCCAAGCTGCCATGGTAATACTTTAAAAAAGAAATTGAAAAGAAGCCACAGCCTGTCAGAACAGAAAAGCCTACTGCCCAATATAGCGAATAATCCAGAGGAAAACAGTTTTAAACTGTAGTTTTTCCTACACAAAGTTATCCTGAAAATCCTTAACACCAAGCTGGCCAGGATGTAGCCAGCACAACTCAAGCAAGCAAAGAAAAACAGATGAAGCATCCAACACTGAAGTGAGCAGGCAACACAAAGCAAAAGACAGAAAAAGACAGCCCCCTTCCCAGAGCAGTGTGGTCAGGTTTCCCATGGTTTACCTCAGACAGCTCGGCCGTCTTAACTGCAGCCATAAGATTGTCCATTTTTTTCAACATATCATTCTGTGTTGAAGTAATAAAGAGAGAGAAGCCATAAAGACATTACATCAAAACATCTATTCCAACAAGGATGCTACTAGCCAGAGGCATGTTCTGGGGAGACAGCTTGGAAACAAAAATAAGCAAATGAATGGGGATCTTTTCAATATGTTGAGAATCCAAACATTCAAGAGCAACAGCTCAATCCTCCCACAGTTGAGATGCTAGTGCAGCCCACCTTGCCTACCAGCCCTCCCCATGCCAGCCACACAGCGAGAGCCATACCAGGAAGGAGAGCCTGTGCCGCAGCACAGCGTTCTGGAAGTGGCACTGCTTCACCTCCTTCTGTAAGATGGTCTTCTCCTGCGTGAGCCGCTGTGCATTGGCTTTCTCTGCATTGAGGGCCAGAGCCAATGCTTTATTGTTCTGCTTTAGGGAGACTTTCATAGTGGAGGAGTTGTCTGTGAAAGACAGAGCAGTATCACACACCATCAGCATCCAGGGTATCACCCATACTTCTCCTGTCATCATAATTCTCTCTCTTCCTCGACCAGCCATCCTCAGATTCCAATCTCTACAACTCAATAGCCCCCTAACAAAATTAGCAGTATCCTTCCATAATAACACGCAACACTTCAGATACCCTCTCCATCTCTGAGTGGGTCACACTCAGAGAGCAAGCTACTCCTTCAATTCTTAATGAATGATGGTGTAATTGAAATGCTGAGTTTAAAAATATATGCTCCTTGCTTTGAATAAGTCACTAACAGGTAAGTCCTCATCACCATTCAAAAAATGGGAGAAAGAACTGTTTTCCTCTATAGTTTCCCTTGAGTAAATTTGGACCCCTGTTTCCCAATTTGAAAACAAATGAAAGTAATGGAAATATCCGAGTTTTTAAAGGTAGTCCAAATTATCTCCTGTTCTATCTTTGCATTACTTTCCCCATAAAAACAAGCCAGTTGGCCTAGATTCCGCAGAGGATTGCATATACACTAAAATACTTCATACACATTTGGGCACACTTGAGACCCATCTGCAGGGCACTGGATTCACCCAAAACCCCCGGGCAGAGAAGCAGCACGTGAGTTCTGGTAAGGGACTGCTGCCCACTGCCGATGCCGCGGCCCAAGGCCCAGTTGTAAGCTGACATAGCCAGCATATGTCCACACCGCAACGCAAAACACACTCACTGATGATCTTCGTTTTGATTTTCGATGCAAGCGAGGCATTCAACTTCGCAGTCCTCAAGGCACCCTTCTTCTTCTCCCGCATCCGCTCCCTCACGTCGCTCAGACTGAAGAAGGACATCTCGGCGGCCTCCCACGCTGCCATCGCTGAAGAGAGCGACACCGAGCAGGGTCGGCACCCGTATTTCCCTGCCGCAAGCCCTTACCGGCCAAGGCTCGCACTTGCCCCAGGAACGACGCCGCGGACCCCCCGGCCCCGCGCGGACCCCCGGCGGAGGAGAACGAGGAGGATAAGGAGGGGGATGAGGGCGAAGCGGAAGCCGTGCCCGCCGAGCGACTTTCGAAAGCCGCGGCCGGCGGGCGGGCCGCCCCTCGCCCCGCCCCGCGGAGAGCGGCGCAGCCTCGGCGGCCCCGCCGGGCCGGGCCCGCTGCCCTTCCCGCTGGGAGCGGCCGGCCTTGGGGCGCTGCTGCCGCCACCGGCCCCACAGAGCTAAACCGCTCCTGGCATGCCTCAGGAAAGGCCGAGGCTTCTTCTGAAGGACCTACGCCACCCAGAAATTAGAGTGTGTAGTTTGCAGCTATGACAAAGACAGTTAAATGTGACCGTTGAAAGGAATTACTTTTATTCGTACGTACTTCACACTTCTGGCCAAGTTAATGCATTGTTTTCCCGACAGCCTTGAATTTGCCTTCAAGAATTTGACATTACGTGTGCTGGTGTGATGATGTTAAGTATTTTAAGGAAATGACACATACAGGGAAAACAGCCAAATATTTTGAAAATAAATTTACGTGGAGGTACCATGGGAGTAAAGCTGCTGAAAATATCTCTGTTTTCCCAAAATGGGTTCTTTTACCTGATGTGCAAGAGGCCGAGCCCCACACAGAGGTGAGGTATTTGATTTTTGTACAGTTCTGCACAAAAAGAGTGCTGGGTGTCAAATCTGCTAAGCCAGCATGACGACTACCAAAAAACTATCGCTGTTCATAGGTTTTAGTAAACAAAGACATTAATATTCATTGGCTACAAGTTACATAGTAATCTGATTAATTAGTATCCTATCTACTATTATAATCTATGTGCTCAGTTTCTCTTTTTTTGAGTTGGTGAATTTCGTGGTCGCAATCTCCCCTTGCCAGAACTGTCTTTTACGTACTTGGGGCTGACTTCAGCACAGTTACTGAGTTGGTTTTGTTGGTTTCTTCCTTATCTTGGGAGTTCTGCCAAATGTCCTTGTGGCTTGTAAATTCTGCATTCTTTGTTTCCACTATCACTAGTACATCCTTCTTCCAAACTTAACGTCCCTCTGGAGCTGAGATTGTTGAAACATCTCAAAGCAAGTTTCTCTAACAATATCTCTTTAGTCATATAATTGCTCTTTAAAAAGTAGGAGAGGTATTACAATCTTTAATTCATTACTCAAATCACAAGAAAGTATTGTCTGTGGCCCAGCTCCATAATAAAAAAGCATTTGTACTGGAATATATAGATTGTTTTTTCAGTAACATATAATTTATAGATGTTTCCTAAGCAACTATTTCAAGTAGATGTGGAATTGTAGTCAGACTATAACAGACGATTCACATATAATTCACAGTGTTTCTGGTGCACTTAACTTTTTTTTTAAATCTCAGACATATTTAGCTGTAATATTAATGACAGAGTGACACCCAGTGTCCAGAAAGTGCTAGAGCTCATTCCACCTCACAGTCACATGCACCAAAATAGCCTTGGCTGTAACCTCTCTTAGTTGAATTCTTCCAGATGAAGAACTAGAAATGTCACAAGTTGTGATGTAGGGGCATTTCACAATATGTTACTTAGAAGGAGGGATCTTCCTCTCTGCTCCTGGGATAAGTGGGTGGATCAACTGTCCCTCCTTTTGCTGTGAGTGTTATACTGTATATTTTTACAGCCTTGCTTCTTATGGACAGGAACACTTTTCTTGAATGTCCAACCCAGAATATTTTTAGAAATCTCTGTTTTGAATGCTTACCATACACTGCAGAGGAGCGATGTTTTCTTGAAAGGTTTCCAGCTAGCTATTCATGCTGTTTCCTGTGGTGGGGTGTTTGAGTTTGCATGTGGGATTTTGTGGGTTTTTTTTTCCTTTGGGAGGAGGAGAGGTGGGCCTTTTTTAGCTTTGATTTATATTCTGACGTTATGCAAGCAGAGATTGAAAGAAAGGAGTATTTCTGCTCAGCTCATGTTACTGTCCACTTGCTTAGATCTTGCCCCTTGTGGCCTCAGAGATACTTCCTTAATGATGACAAGGTAGCAAAGTTACAACATTTTCTGAAGATAAGCCAATGTTATCAGGCTCTTCAGTTTCTATTTCAGCCAATAACACTGCTTCGTTTTAATCATGTGCTAATCATTCCCACTCTATGAGAAAGGAAAGGAAATGCTTTGATGAGCTGGGAAACTAAGGATACTTTATTTTTCAAAGTCCTAATTCATTTAAGAGGTTAAATCTAGTGTTTTAAATTAACAGTAACTCTTGGAACTCAGCTTATGCTTCATTAAGAGTCCTAGACTCAAAGAGCTGGAATCCAGCCCATCTGAAAATTCAGTCTCTGTGGATTTTTTTCCCCCACTGAAGTAAACTGCTGGAGATTTCCTGTTATCCTTCATCAGTTTTGAAGCCTTGGCTTAAATCTCCTTGAAAATCATGTGCTAGCTTTATTAAGATATATAGATACTTAAGGAGGCCAAGTCACACCCTTGAGGCAGTTCAGATGGATCCTACAGCTTGCCTGTTTCTTTTCCAAGTGCAGCAAAAATGAGAGTAACTTCAGGAGCATTAAAGAATTTGAAGCCAGAACATCTTACCTCCAACTTTGCATTGCAAGTGGGCCCGTGCAGTAGGTCTGTAAACCAGCCTGGTGGCACTCTAAGCCCAAGATGATAGGAGGCTCTCTCTCCCCCCCAAGACATCAAGTACCAGACACCAGCAACACATCAAAAGCAAGGAGAGCTAAAAAGGAATTCAAGCAACTGGACACAATGATCAGAGGAAAACAACGGGGTGACAAAGAAGGTCTGGAGAATTCACACAAGCCAGTAAAACAGTTTTTGCAATGCAACACTTAATGCCCCAGTCTTGTCTGCCCTTCTCAGCTCTCTTTAGCATGAGATGTTTCATAATAACACTAAAGAGTGTCAATTCTAAATTGGATTGCATGACATTGGCAGGAGGTGTCACTCACGAGCTGCAAAGTCAACTCCAGTAATACAGACATGGAATTCATTCTTCTGCCTAATATCACTGAAAAAAACCCAGAACATTTACTACTATCACTTTTAAGTTAAAAGAAAAGAAAACTCATTTTAGAAGAAATTAACAAAAACCCTGACTCCATAAAGAACCTAGTAATGTCAGATTAGTCTAGCATGTTCATGAAATAGGTTCTGCCTTTCTATTTGTCCATGATTTGCTAAAGCCTTTTGTTTACCACTGCTCCACTAAGCAACAAAGCTAAGAAAACATGCCAGCAGCAGTGCTGGATTTGCTGAACTGGAGTGAGGGGGCTCCCCCACAGCCCTGAGTTCAACGTGCATCACATGTCACACAGCAGGAGGGAGGCTGATCTGCCCTGCAGTCCCCATCTCTCCTGCTGGATTCAGCCCTGCCTGCTGTGCTTGCACTTATTAACATTTGCATCCTGCAGGGAGCTACAGAAGCAAAACAAGGAATCTCTCCAAGGAAGCCTGGAACAAACTCAAAAGTGAGGAAAGCAAATTAAGCAAAGACATAACAAAGACCTAGACTTCAGGTACTTCATTTGTTGTAGGTGAGCCAACTGATGACTTTACCTTAGCTTTGGTAATACATTTGCAACTTGTGTTTTAATTGGGGTTTTGTTTGTTTTTAAATCTTCACCGCCATTCCTTCCTTTCCACCCTTGTATCTTGCATCTAAGAACATCCATTCCTCTTCCATTAGCCACTTCTCTCCTGCTTCCTCCTGCCAGTATCTTAGGAGCTTACATTCTCCCAGTGCATCCCTACTACTCCTCAATGCACTGTGCTACTTTTACAGAGACAATGAGCGCGTGCAGCACTTCGGAGGCAGGGAATACACACTCTCCCTTTTCCACAGTGCTTTGCAACTCCCACACATGATCCAGCGCTGGGCAGGATGATGTGGCCTGTGTCTCTCAGCTCTCCCCTTTAACCATCCTGCTTTCTGATTTTGGTAAAGGGCTCAGCTAAAGAAAAAACAGCCAAGTACCGAAGTCTATCTTCCAATGCCCATTTTTACATCTCTAATGGTAACCTTGTATGTCCATGCTGTGCTGCCTAACAACACTCCCCATTCCCTAGATGGGCTGCCACTAATAACAGCTCAATATATTCACAAATTACAAATTAACTGGTGAGTCTCCACTGAAACAAATTCAGTAGAACCATAGGCAGCAGCCAGTGACAGGACATAAGTAAATTTCATCCCAACTCAAACAGCATCAGTCTGACCCCTTAAAAGCCAAAACAGAGAGAAATTATACTTTGAAATGAGGTCATTTCAAGAGGGGAGGAGAGGATATTGCTGCTGAGCCCATGAGAGAGCAATGGTGAGGGGGTGATTAAGATTAAACAGCTAGAGAGATTAACATCTCATGACTGTTTTTTGTTCACTGACCTGTAATAAAATAAACAGTAAGATCAACAAATAGGTGATTAGCCTTCTTATTCCAGAGCTGGTTTTGCTGTTAGACTACTGCCACAGTCTTCACTTTTCTTTGGCTAATACTTTGTGGTTTTATAGATAAAACTAGTGAAATTAAGAGGAATAAACAACAGAAATCTCATTATAATATGTTATACTTACTATATTATGACTTACTTATGCTAATAAGCACAAACCTAGTGTTTTATTTTCAGAATGCAAGTACCTGCCCTTTTGCTACTCCCTCCCCTTTTGGCTGGTTGGCATCTGATTGTCTGCACACAAAAATCAAGCCCAGCACATCATATGGTTTAGTGCTCACATGTTTAGACAGCCAGAACTAGAGAGCTGAAAGGTGCTTGTGTGTGCACCACAGGATTGGTGCATCATAGCCTTCTGCTACCTTGACAGGAAATTCCTCCTTTCCTGAGCTATATTGTCTCCAGAATGAAAAAATAAAGGTCTTTCAGTGACCAAATTAATTAGTCAGAAAAACTTCAAAGTCTTTCTTCAGCTATGCAGAAAGCAATGGACAGAGCTCAGATGCAATGCAGAGTCATGAGTTTTTTCTACAGGACCCAGGAGAGATCTCTGATCACATGTGCACCCTATGCATACATTTAGTGCCTACCATTGCACTGCAAAACTACCCATAGTGGGAAAGATAAGAGGCCATTCTGGCTCTGTTCTTCCTAAGCACCTGAAATCATGGAAAAGGGGCAAATGGGGAATTGAACAGGGCATTATCCACTTTTCCTTGGGCTAATTTAAGAGGAAAATTTCACCCCAGAGGCTGACTCCAGCAGCAGAACTCATGGTGGCAACTTTCTGTCACAATTCATAGCCCAGTTTATGATACTGAAATCAGATGGTTTCAGCTAACATGCCTGACTGGACAACACAGCAGCTGAGGCACAAACATATTGTCTGCTGGACCAGAGATTCTAACTTAAATTGCTCCACACAAGTTTGTGACTCAGAGTCTTTACACCACAGCCAGAGTTACTAGAGCACTGTCCATGCAAGCAAGCACAAATTTCTCCCTCATTTCTGCTATAGTAATCTTAAGACAAGTCACTACTAATTCTCTAGCTAGTCTGAAAATTCTCACTTATTATGGTGAAGAACTTTTTCCTAGCCAAATGTTGTGTGGAAACATCTAGCATCCATCATGGAAAAGCAAAATATCTTTTCTCCCCCAGGCTGGTTTATCTGTTGGACAAAAATATAACCAATCTGTTCTGAAAAGCATCAGTTTTGTCAGGTTGGAAAGTAATGTAAGTCCACAGGAATATGTATCTTATATGTATCTTCAAGAGGCAGCTGGCAGCAACAGCAATTACCAAAGCCATGAGAAAATCAGTTTTACTCCATCTCTCTAAAACACTGTTAAAGATGCTGGCTTCTCAAAGGGAGTCATGTTTGAAAGGGTGCTTAGAGGTCCTCAAAACAGAAACTAGCCCAGACAGGCTGTTATGGAGGTGATCTGCCAGGTACTTCCACACAGGTATTTCCACTGGCAGTGCTAAGCCCATCATCCATTTAAGTGAAGCAAGTGTGTGGTATGATTGCCAAAGGCATCCAGGGATAGATTTCATGGTCTTTGTTGGGGACTGGCCAGCAGACAAGTATCAAGTCCTGAACAGCACACTTACAGTAACAGCTGCAATACAGCAAGTCAAATACAACAGGCAAGCAAACATCATGACAAGGAACTCCAACAGGATGAAGGCAGGTGGTCTGAGGTAGCACAGTGGGACAAAAGGGCTGAATATACTAAAGAGGACAGAAGGGTATCTAACCTGTTTGGAAATGGTGAATGCACATTAGCCCCTGTCATTTAATATGGATACAGTTAAAAAAACATCAGTGAAGTGGTTTGTGATGGAAGGCTGTGAAGGTGGAGGTTTCGTATTCTCCCCATCCATTTCCCCAGAATACACTCTTGTCCTTCTCTTTTCTTTCTTACTACAGCACTGAAAGCACTTTTCTTTGGCCTGAAACCTAAGC